GTACCTCCTAACGGCTTGTCGAATGGTATCTCCCACCAATTAATAATAACAATTATTGGCGTGGTGGAAAGAGAATAAAAAAACAATGTTTGGAAAATCCTCAAAGCCTCGCTTCTCAAATAAATATTAATCACATTGTAAAACAAAAAGTAAATTACCTTCCTTTGTTATAATAACTAAATTATTACATATGATGAATTAGTCGATCTAGCATTACTAATTAATATATCAAAAAAACCTAACATTCGTCCTTAAGCTTAATCAGCGATTTTGACATAGTTAGGTAAGCTTATGAATGCATTCATATGCTTTGACATATTTGAGAGTCTGTATCACTTATTATCGCATCTTTGGGTCTGAAGTGCATTTCTTTATATGCTTTCTTAAATTTTTGATATACTGAGAATCCAAGGCCGCGTAAGCGGCTTTGCTCCTCAAATACCATTTCGTACACTTTCTTGAATGTTTCTTTGAAATTCTCTGAATATGCTTTTATAGTATTAGCGTTCGCGTAGAAATATAATATCTCCTTTTCTTTTTTTCGATTTTATCAAAAAAAAAATATTATCTTCACGCGAATGTGAAGTTCCATATATACGTCAATTAGGTCAAATCTAATGAATTCTGTGGTGTTATCGTTTTAAGAGGTACATTAAAAGACTAACGAATAAAAATGCTGTAGGGAGCTATAAACTCCAATAAAAAATGATTTTTAAGGTTTGAGGTGTAATGATTTGATCCGAGTCTTACAGAAAACACCCCCAAAACAAAATAGCATTCAAACAAAACAATCCATCGAATAATTACTTTTAAAATATTGCGCAACAATTTTTCAGAAATAAAATAAATAAAATAACCAATCAAAAAAATTAATACCTTAACTATACTGTAGATCTCTAATTTAAGTTTCATGTGATGATACAACTGTTCTCTTATAATGCTTCAGTAAAATTCCCATAGCAACATCAATTGAAATTTTAAAAAGTGAGACTTTAATATTAGCATTTCATTTAACAGTTTCTGAAAAGCTGTAAATATATGGTTCTTAATAGAGTTTGTTTTTTCTAATTATAGATAGGATGTCAAAATTGAAAAAATATTTATATCGATCGAAAAATACTTTATCTTAATATTATTTATTATTTATATCGATCAAAAATACTTTATCTTAATATTATTTATTACTACAGTAGTTTAGAAACGATTACTGAAAACCTTCACAATTTATATACTGTATATTTAAGCAATCAACTTATAAACTTTATATTTCATGTGTGAAAGATTTACATTGCAACAATTGATCTTTTAATTAACACTATTAGTAAAATTATCATAATTAATATAATATGAAAAATTTGAAAATTTATATTTGAACAAGAAAATTATATATATTTTTTTTACTGCAAACAAACATTATATGTCATATCTTTTGGAAAAAAGCTTTATGCTAACTCATAATATATTCTATTAATTCTAAAAAACATCAAATAGACAAAATAAAAACCAGAAGTACATTATAAATAACCAATACTTATCTATAAATAACTAAGTTAATAGTTATTAAAATGTCTTGTCACGATTTAAAAAGTTACTAAAATAATTATATATTATTGTTATTATTAATTAAAATATGATTAAACTGGTTTGATCCAAATTATATTGAGATATTGATCATTAAATACATATAAGTTGTTTTAAAAAAGTTAAGTTTTGAATTTAATTAAAATTTTGCAATTGTTAAAATAATATGATATAAAGTATTAATAAATTTTAAAGAAGTAAATAGAAACAAGCAAAATGTTATTTGGATATATCTAAAAATAAATTTATAATAGTAAAAAAAAAATAATAATAATTAAAATTACAATAAATATATATTGTATATACAAAATAATTAAAAAAAATTATTGTAAAAACTTTTTTTTATATAATTCAAAAATAAAATAACTTTTAATTTAATTAAAATACACTTTTATACAATATTAAAATTTAAAACTTTATATTTTTAAGTTTAAAAATTATATAAACTATGTTTTTAAAAAAATTAGTATCAAAAAATTACAATAAATTAATAATCAATACTAATAATTTTATTTAAAAAATTCGTGTTTTTAAAATTATTATATAAAAATATATATAATAGTTTAATTTGATTTCTAATATATATATTGTTAAATAAGAAATGGATTTTTAAATAAGAAATTGAGTTTTAATATAATAAATAAAATATAATTTATATAGCTAAAATTATTAATAAATAAACAATTAATAAAATCAAACTAATTTAATTTAAATTTGATTTCTAGATCAATTAGATTTGAATCAAAATCTTGATTACTAATTAAAACTAAAGATAAATTTTTAAACAGTTTAGTATATATAATTTTGTAAATATATTATGTTTCTTTTGAAAAAAAATATAATCATTTATTTGTTATTTTTATAGAAACAAAACTCAAAACTATTGGAATTAATAATTTAAATAGCAAAAAAATTTTGTAAAAAATTTTTTTTCGATCTTATATTTTAAAATTTTTTTATAATAATAAGGAATATTTGAATTATATGTTTGCTGTAGTTTAGAAACTTATATTATAAATTAGTATTATTTTATATTAATTTAGATATTTTATAAATATAGATCCATTATTATTTAAGAAATATTTCACAAAGCTTTTTAGATTATTGAATTTAAAAATTTTAGTAGGATTGTTTTATATAAATAGGAAATTTATTGTAAACTAAATGAAAATTTTGAAGAGAAGGGTATATTAGATTTAGATAAATATTAAAAAAATAAAAAACCCATCTTTCAAATTTTTCTAAAATAATATTAACATACATTTGACTTTCAATATCAGGAGTAGATATAAGAAGAGGTTTTTCCGCTTATAAAAATTAGTGATAAACATTATTCATTATCAGAAGAATCAATTTCAATATTAAATTTTTTATATTAAAATCTTTTGGTTTTTTTCGAATTTTTTTGGCCATATTTTAACAATCTGAAACGTACATTTTGACGTACCAATCACAAATATGTATGATTGGCCAATCGGAACACGTAGCAAAGTGGTATTTATAAGAACGGATCATTTTGTTTACTTTGTTTACGCGTTCTTTCTATAATGTTAAGAAAAGATTTTGGTAAAATAAATGAGTCGTACTTATATTTCCTGTTGGCAGTATTATATATACTTAAAATAACAAATTTCAGACAAAAAGAGGCAAAAGAAAATTCTCAAAGGATTAGCCTCCGATTTTGAGAAATTTGCATCTGATGATAGGTTGAAACATGAAGAATTGGTAATCGGACAAAAGCCACATTATGAAGAAGAATTGCCATCAACATCACCAAAAAAGGTAAGAGCATAACTTACTGTAATTATTAGTCTGCAAAAAAATCATCTTTCTATTTTTTTTTTGACACATGCAGATCAAGATCAGCGGAAACGAAGAGTTGGTTGAAGAAGGTATCTCCCAAGAAGATTTGTCAAACTCTGTGATTAAAACCTTTGATATTTTCGGACAACTCGAATTCCCAACGTATTACGAGAAACTCAAAACCATATGGAATACCGAAAACGATAATACAAATTATTGTGTTATTAATATGGGAGATAAGAATACATTAAATCAAGTGCATGAACTTTTGAGCGAGAACGAATTGAGATTTTTGTCTGAGAGGCTGATGTTGAAAAATGAAGTCGAATGTATAAGCGTAGAGGCACGTAGTTATATGGAACTGTTTGATCATATTGTGGAAGAGGAAGGTTGTGATAATTCATTCGATGATCAGACAGAAGATACGGAAGGCGATAATAATTTTAGAAACAGTGAAGAGTTCAAGAAAGTTATCGCTAAAATGGAAGAAAAAATGCGTCGATTAGGAAGTTTGTCCGAAAAATTTAACTATTTATCTAACGTCTATCCTATTCCACCGGAGAGTTATGATCAATCAAAGATGCCCGACATTAATATCATTAAGAGCATCTCTAGTCACCTCGATACGATAGTAAAAATGAATGGTGCCATGAAAAATTCTCCTGAACGTACATGAACAGCTCACGTACTGGCATATATGTTCTTCATAACATTTTCTTTTATTGACTCATTGCAGTATTTCTCATGTGAACGGGACGTTCCAAGTAGTGTTTATAAAGCCGATGGTGTATTGGAGTTTTTCGAGCGACCCAACCAAATTCCATTATTTTTTCTTGAGGTATCAGAAGGCCCTAATAATCCAGACCCGGGTATTGTTTATGAAGACAGAGAGAAGTTGATGGATGAAGGTGTTTTTGCTCTTAATAAGTTTATGATAAGCACTGGGTTACCAACGCGTAGAGTATGTGAAACGTTGAGTGTTTTCCTGGCTCAAGGAATTGGTAAAATTTTTTTAAATATTTTGAACCTGCAGGTGTTTCCTTTACTTCAAATCTAATACACTTCTTGTTTACTTAATTGTAGCTGATAAAATCGAAATTGGCCAATTGATATTTATTGGACCCGGCTTATACTTATTTTCTCCATTTACAATTCCGGCTCTTACTATTCCAACCTCCTTTACCAATTTAGCACACGCACCTAGACTTATTCGAACACTCTTATGTTTACGATACAACATTATTAAAAAAATCGAGTTGTATAAGGAATTCTCAAAGGAAGGACAACAACTTATTACTCAAGCCAAAACTAGATATGCAACCGGGTTCTCACCAAATCGGTCAAAAAGCTATCACATTTGAAAATTTTTACCAAAAATATCAAAAGAAACGAGTAGGGGAAGGGATAGAGGTGGTAGGGAAAGGCAGGATTGATTTTTTAAAAATTGGAAGTGCTTATTTTTTACGATCATATATTTTGATAAACTTTTCGTATCCAAAGTAAATATATCAATAAAAGATTTTCCGATGTAAATGTTGTGCCTCAGAATAACGGGACGGTGAGATGCTTCAAATAATCTAAAGGGACGTCGACTGTCATCTGACGTAATTAATGAGTTTAAATTACGACACGCTTAATATCAAACTTACGAACTCATTATATATTTACCAGCATCCCATTGCCCGTTCATTATTTAAATTTACCATGTACTCATACGTACAGAGTGTGCTCAATATAAGGTAACAAGAACAAATATTTATTTATGTTGAATATTAGGCTAACTCATTTTGCCTATTTCCTAATCAATAATTACATTCCTTATTTGCATTATACTTGATATTAATAATATAAATCTGATTTCAACTGCGACTGGTGGCCATATAGACCCGGTACTGAACCAAGAGTTACTATTTCGTGACATTTTGTTTTTTCTTGAATCTTCCAGAAAATTTAAGTAAATTATTTCATTTCAGATATTATTAACCAATATATAATGGGTTTTCCTGAAAAAAGGCAAGGTATTAGTAAATGTGAAGCTCTAATAAAATCAAGTTTATTTTACAAAGTTCTACAAACACCAACATCAGTGACTAGAGTACATGGAGTTGACAAAAAATTTTTTTGTTTAAAAGAAATAATTTCTAATGATTTTAGAATTATAGTAAAGAAAACAATAATATGGTTTTAACTATTGAAAATATGTATAAAGTACTTTGTCAAACTTATGTTAAAATAAACCAACCAGTTAAAAAAAAATGAAAATGGATTAGACAAGATATAATTGAACAGTTTGTTAATAATTCTATCATATGTGTATAAGAAAGTTATCTTTCTATCCATTAGTAGCAAAACCGGTTATTGCCAAAAATTTTATAACATATCTACGGTAAATAATTTTAAAATAATTTGATTAATTTTTTAAGTTATAAACAGGTATGAGCATGGTCCCAAAAATTAGAATCAAACAGACTTGCATAGACTTACATGAGGTTCAGAACACTATTAAAAATGATGGTGGGTTATAACCCACATATTAAATTTACTATGAAACTGAGAATCAAGAATTGAATTGAATTGAATCATAGGATTCTTAGGTATGAAACATTATTGAATTTATGTTATTGTTATTAAATTAAGTGTTTTGTTTTATCTCTTTTAATAATTAATTAACATTATCTATTGACCTATTTCTAACTCATAGTATTTTCATTGTACAATTATATATACCAGTTATATATAACTTTAAACATTAAATAAATGATTTGTACACAGTTAGAACTTATATAGAAGATAAACATACTATCCCTAATTTAAATTATTTAATATATTGGATTCAGTTTCAATTGTATTTATTATAAAAGAAGCATATTATGAAATGTTATTATAAAAATTGACTCTGATCATTCTAGTCATCTTTTATTACTGGTTCTTAAAAAATATTGCTAGTATAAATTAATATTGATTCTTTTTATCATTTGTAATTATAACTTAAAAAATTTGTATTAATTTGTATTATATTTATTTGGTTTAATATTTTTTCATAATTTTCTTATCACTTGTAACAAATGATTTTATTTTTCAATTTATATATTTGAGCTTAAAAAAGTATTATTTTAAGATAAATATTAGAATATTACTTTAAAATATATTAATTTTTAAATTAATCTTTAATTTTAATTAGAAAGTTTTACCACAAGTTAAATTAAAAGTTTTTTTTTATTATTATAATCTTGTTTCGATTTAAAATTATTAAAAAAATTAATTTTCTTTTTTATACAACCTAACTATTTTTGTAAAATTATCTGATTTATTAAATATAATATAGATAAAAAATTGTGTTAAATAAGTTTTAATTTTAAATATTTTTTTGATAATATAAAATATCATTATTATATTATAAAACCATAAATCTATTTTTTATTTATTTATTTTTTGAGAAGTTTCTTCAGTTGATAAAGCATTATTTCTTTATTTAATATTGTACAATATATTACAAAAGTCTTTGAACTAATATTTTTTAATATAACTTAATAATAATTATTTAATAAATATAAAATTTTTATGAGAAGCGTTTCATTTGACATTAAAAAAAATATAAATATAAAACTTTAAATATATATTTTTTATAATATAATAATAATAATAAAGTTTTATTAATATTGATTAATAAATTTATTGTAAAATATTGTTTTTTTTTTAAAAAAATTAAGTTAAAAAATTTTTATAGATTTTTTAAATGATTAATTATAATTAAATATTAAAAATTGGAATAGGATCTAGATTATATTAAATGGTTTAAAACTAGTAATAGAATTTCTATCTTCTAAAAATTCTATCCAGTATGTAAATCTATCTTCTGTATGATAAACTGGTATATTGAGCAAGTTTGTAAATAAGAAAATGAGTCAACTTAAATGAATCTAAATATGTATAATGTATTGGATATAAATAACTCAATGAATGATTTATGCATATAGCACTTTTCATTTTCTAAAAAAATAAAAAAATATTAAAAATAAAAAAGTATATATTAAAATTATTTAATAAAAAAATTAATATATTATAAAGTATTTTTTTTAATAATTTTTTTATAAATTCAAAAAATATTTTATAATTTTATAATTTTTAAAAAATTTATAATTTCTATTCATAATTTATATCAAAATTTTTTGACTTGTTTTTTTTTATTTTAATTTAATATTTTATAATAGATTTATTAATCAACTATTAATAAAACTTAAATATTATTATTATATTATTAATATAAATATAAATATATTTTTATCAATTAAATAATTATTTATTAAGTTATATTAAAAAATATTGGTCCAAAGACATTTGTAATATACTGTACCTATATCTGATACTATACATAATGAATAGTAGCTTGAAGTTCAAATTTTAATACTTTTAAAGTTTTATAAAGAAAAGTAAAAAATAAATTAATATATTTATTAGCTCTATATGGGTTATAAAACTTTTAAAAAAACAATAAATAAATTTTATTTTATTATCTTTAACAATTTTGTAAAAAAGAAATGAAAAAACAAATTATTATCTATGATTTCAAAAGAGATAAAAGCATGCATTTTTATAAAGTTACAATATATACTACATACCCTGAATAACTAAGTTGACTCAGTTGACGGCTTAACCATTAGCTAATCGACTTCAATAATTAGTTGCGGCACGAAAATCTGTTCCACAATGCGGTGCACACAGATCAGAACTGCGGATAACATGCACAATAGACAGAATAAAATACAGTATGTTGCAGATAGTATAAAGAAATATACAGTACAGTAACATGAATTATAATAAAAAGTACAGTAATGGCGCGAAAGATAGTTTAAATGATTAAAAAGTCTCTTGTTATTATTTTTTCTTTAGCATTAAAAGGCGCATGAATTAACATTGTGCTATGTTTAGGTTACGCAGAAATCTGGTCGGAGTTAATGAATGGCTGATCGCCGTTAGACTGCTACTATACTAATCATTGTTTCCTAACACACGCAATTTGTTTTAGTTTAATTAATATTACATAATTCAATATTTCGTCATTAAGTTTTATAACTACAATACTGTGTAATAAAGATTAACTAGTGTAACATCCATAGAAATTACCAAATTAATTTATTGTTCTGTTAGATAATTCTTATATTAAATCAAGAATATTTTTTTTTGCAAAAAGTACGTATCATTTCAAAATGCTCTTGACTTCATTGCTTGAATATGGTCCTATTTTTTCTATCCGCCTAAAAAATATGGAAGGTTCTATATATATAGCAAACGTGAATTTGCATACTACTGGAGAGCTATTGTTAGAGAATTACGAAAGGTGCGTAGGGCGAGATGACACCGCCGAGTCCTATAAGCATATATACTATTATAAGGGCCCCGTCGTGTCCTATAAGATTATATACAATGATAAGGACATTCAACTTTCAGATACATTTAAGGAATTGGGGATTAAGGTTAGATGCTTGTAAATATTTAATAAACTGATGATACTTATTGTATCGACCCGAGTAAATATTTGTTTTTTTCCTGAAATTTTTAACTCTAGGGAGGAGATCTTCTTAAGTTAACACTTGGTGAATGTACAAATTCTAAAGTATTTCAGAAAATAAAGTTTGATTTTACACCGGATAAGCCAAGAAGTTTAATGACAATCTTTCTCAAAACGCCTACCAAAAAAAAAGAACTTAAAGTATACTGGAGTGATACAATCATTCAGATTAAGAAGATGATCCATGATTTGGAAGGTATTTCCCCACAAAAGCAACTTATTACTTTTAATGACGTTGAATTGGAAGATGATTATACTTTATCGCATTACAATATTCAAAACGAATCGACATTGTATCTAACTTATAAAGAAATGATTGTTTATATAAGAATGGAGACTGGAGAAACAATAGAATATGAGTCGATGCCTCCTGATAATTCCATCCATAGAATAAAATCAATGATTGAGGATAAAAAACACATTCCCTCTGTAATGCAGCGCATCAGTTTTAATGGAATAGAATTATATAATAATTACATCCTGCCATCTTACGAAATCAAAAATCGATCTGTAATTAATCTAGAGATCAAATCAATAATTTTCGTAAAAAGAAATACCGGATCAATTATAGAACTAGATGCTGAGACAAAAGAAACGATTGGACAGATTAAACAAAAAATCCAGGAAAAATATGGCATCCCTCTAGAACAACAATCTCTCTTTTTTTTAACCAAGGAATTATGTGATCAGAATACATTATCGTATTATAATATTCAAAATAGATCCACATTGGATCTAGGATACAAGGAAATAAAGATTTTTGTAAATGCAATAGACGGAAAAATAATAGAACTGAGAGTAAAGAGAGATTACAAAGTCGAAGCTATTAAACAAATGATCCAGGATAAAGAAGGAATTCCCTATCACCAACAATATCTTGCTTTTAGTGGATATATGTGTGACCAAGAATTCTTGTCATATTACAATATCAAAGAAGGGTCTATATTGCGTTTAGAATATGGAAAAATGTCAATAAAGGTCAATTTGATGGGCGAAAAAATCATAAATCTAGGAGTAGAAAAAAATTTTACCATCGAACAAGTCAGGCGAATGATCGAAGAAAAAGAAGGAATCTCCTTGAATCAAGCTCAACTCGAATTTTCTGAAAGTATTTTGGATCCTAAAAAAACCTTAATGTTTTATAAGGTTACTAATGAGTCTATCCTATACTTATACTTATATAATAATTATTTTAGCGGTAATATAAGTGTGAAAACATTGACTGGAAATAAGATAACTCTGTCAGTGGGATCAAGTAACACCATTAAAGACCTCAAATTAAAGATTCAAGAAAAAGAAGGAATCCCCCCTTATCAACAACGTCTTGTTTATGCGGGAAAGCAATTAGATGACGGGCGTCTCTTGTCTGATTATTATATCAGAAGAGATTCTTTAATCCATCTTGTACTTAGATTACGTGGCGGGATGTTTCAAGAAACTAGTGGTCGACGAGAATTTGATGCATTACCATCACTCACACAATATATGCTAACACCTGAAGAACGTCTAAATAATGGAATTCATGCTGGTATCGCCTGTAATTATTGTGGAAAACGCGAATGGAAAGGGATGAGGTTAATATTCACTGACTTTAATTGAGCTTGACAATATCCATTTTTATACTAATGCGATTTTTTGTCATCGGCAGATATAAATGTTCAGAATGCCTTGATTATGACTTGTGCTTTGCTTGCATCACAATGTCCAACCTACTTCATAACGTGCAGCATCATTTTCTAAAACTCGCGGATCCCGTAGATCCAAAGGCGACTCCCGAAGATATCTTATCTGCTTCTGTTACCATCCTCCCAATATTACCTGACACGAAAGAGAAATTGTTGGTTCTGCTACGTGAGGAAGAACGCCGAAGGTTTTCACCTGAAATGCAAAAAAAGTATTACGAAGTTGGTAATGATCCTACATGTGGTATGGATTGGATGGATGTCACTGATCAGATGCAGCATGAGTTAGTTCAAGAATTTGGATATTCAGATGAGGCAGTGCAATTATTACGGCGTGCACCACAGCTTTATCCGAGTAATTAAATACACTCTTTCTTTCTTTTTGACAATTTGTATCTTAATATTGATGTCTTTTCACATTTCCAGATGATCCTGAATTTCACACAACTCAAGTATATGTTCGAAACAATATTGCCAATATTGGAACCCTTACTGAAGGAATGCCTGCACCTGATTGTTCATTGATTCCTCTCGAACCTTCAATGTTCAAAGCAATTATTCTTAATGGTAACTTCAATTCACCAAATATGGTTTCTTTGCGCTTACTTTGTAAATCAGGGCGACCTCTTGTTCTATTCGGCGGATCCTATACTTGTCCCTTATATCGATACATATCTCACGTACTTAATGATATATATACTCGATATAAAGCGCAAGTGGATTTTTATATGATTCAAATTCGAGAAGCCCATGCTTCCGATGTTTGGCCTATTGGTAACATTGTTGATGTCAAGGAGCATCGCACATTATCTGATCGTCTGGCCGCTGCACGTGAGATGGTCGAAAAAACCCAGTTGGAAATTCCAGTGTTAGCAGATACAATGAATGATAGTTTCTTAAAATTGTATTCACCATGGCCATTCCGTTTTTTTGTCGTTGTAGATGGTATTTTAAAACTTGTAGGGATGCCAAAAGAAGCACGTTATGATACAACGGATCTTGTTAATTGTTTGGATAATATTTTATGTAGCAAAAGATATTGATAATAATATTATTTGTTTTGTTTTGTTTCATATTTCTTTTTATTTTTTTATTTTATTGACTTGAGCCTTAAATCATTATATTATATTTTTTGTTTACACATTAAACATACTTATTATACTCATCAAAATTATTGTTATTATAGGTACATTAAAATTATTGTATTATACCTACTAAAAAATAAAATAAAATAAAATCTATATATTTAATGCTTATAAAAAAAATAAAAATAAAAATAATATACTGTATATACAGTATATATTGATACACTTGATATTTGTTTAAGATCTTACTATCTCTTGTTCAATTTTACTAGCATTTTCTATTAGTATTACTACTTTTGTTATTGTTTAACACTATACTTTTTATGCTATTGTTGCTCTAAAATATTTTCTATTTACTTATTTATCTTTACTCTTTTATTTTTGTCAGAGTATTTGTTTCTATACTAACACATATAGATAACTGTTCCAACAAATATAATATTTCTTTTATATTTCTATTGTTTTATATAACTTATATTTATCACATATGAAATATAATAACTCAAATATATATATAAAGTCTCCAATTTTGCCTAAAAATTGGTAGAATTAAACTTTAATTTTATTAAATAAATAAATTAACCTTTATTAAAACAAATCACCATTGCCTATCTGACTGTGTCTACTATGTTTTCCAAAAAAATTTCAAAAAATTAAATTACTAGAGCTATATTTGTATACAAAAAATATAAAATTACAATCTACCCACCAAATTGTGAATTAAATAATCCAAAGGGTAATTAATTTTTAGATTTTTTCTTTTTCTTCAAAAGCAAAGTATTGTTCAGACAAACACTGGATTTATATCAAAAAAATATCAAGTTCCTTAGTAATTTACTGATATATTAATCAAAACAAAAACTTATCTAATATAAGTTCACTATATATTTAGACTTCATTTTCAAAGGTTCTATTTTATTTTAATTTTCTAAAATCAATACTTCTATTTATATTCAATAATTATATACTGTATATATATATTAAATACCAAAGTAAGATTTTAAATAGTCCTGCTTAATAATGAGATTACTTATATCAAGATCAGATATAATTACAATATTAATTACTTATTTGTCAAATGATTTCATTATTTCATTAATACAAATAAGATCCTTATCAAGTATCAATATCATAGGGAGATTGAGAAAATATCAGTATTGATATAGAAAATAATAACTCTTTGGACTTATCAAAGAAACAATCAGTATTTTTTAGCTAATTATTATTAAATAATTCAAATTCAGCTGCCTTCAAGGCATCAATAAATTTCATATCTATTATTAAAATCAATACTCAAAATATAAAGAATTTATTATTTTTTAATATTGATATGATAATAAATGTTAAACAAATTCTTAATATTAATCAGTTCTTCCTTACTATAAATTTAAAGTCAAAACCAAATATATTATAGCAAAAGCTAACAGATCAATTATTATATTTTTATTATTATAGGAATCTTGGCTGTTGCCAAAAACAATATTCATATTATAATCAATATTTTAAAAGTTCTTAATTTATTTACTTCAAACTATATTAACTAGAAAGTCAAAACAATTTATAGTGTTGACATTAAAATGGCAAGTCTGTCACTTGGGGCAGGTTAAACTCACATAACGTCAGAGGTAGATTGTTCTCCTTTCCTCTATTCGAGGCATGGATTTGACTTAGCCGATCTTGAACCTATAATTAACCTTCTTCTTTCCTTTGTCATCCTTTGTCAATTGTTCGAGTCACTATCCCTTTTAGTGACTACCAGAATGATCCTCTCGCAGCGACGTTACTCTAAAAGGGGGGTTAATTGCCAACTTCTTTTTTAGATGTATCTATCACACCACCACTTATAATAACTGTAATTAACACTCGCACGACCGTTTCGTGCTTCTACAAGAATGGTAATTACATTTATTACTTTTTTGTGTTAAGTTTCTGTTGTTTTCTTTTTTTATCCTCACTCTTTTATTTATATCACTATGACTATCAGCTATAGGACTATAACTTTATGACTCATAAACTATCAGATTATAAAATAAACTATCTAAACTTTTCACTATATTATGAGTTTATTTTTGTTACTCTGATTAGGCGCATTACACAAACGTTGCATCGCCAGGCCTTACTGAAGCAATTTCCTTGCTAACAATAGTTACTTAATAGACGATATTAATACATTACATAATATAAAAAAACTTAAACTACAATTAAACAAATTTAAGTATTCTCTCAAGCTTCAAGAAAATAAAATAATAATATGTATAAATAAATCAATATAAATCAATAAGCATATTACAAATTCAAAAATTAAAGATAATTGAAGCTATAATAAAATAATTTAAATAAAATTAATGAAACATATTTTTAGATTTACTAATATAATTAATAATATTTTTAAAAATTCTATACTATCTTACATTAGCAACAGTCTATTAATAAAAAAAAATAAATATAACATCTTTTTATTATTTACCTTTTGAAACAAAATTCTAAATGGCTCTTATCCATTTAGAAAACTTCTAAATAAAAAATATATCAAATATATTAAAACAATATCTAATCAAGATATCTTATTATATAAAAATCCAAGGTTATATCTTCAAGTATTATAAAAATTGAGAAGTATATATAAAAATTGAAATCAAGCTTAACTTTAAAATTAATAAACTTCTAAATAAGGATCTTAATAATTTAATTCAATTTAATTCTTAATTCTCAAGTTTATATTAAATTTACTATATAGGTTATAATTATCATTATATTTAATAGTGTTTTGAATCTTATGCGAATCTATACAAGTCTATTCAATTTCCCTTTTTGGAATCATACTTCTAAACAAAACTAATGCTATTTCTTTATATTATATGACCCTTAGCTTTAATAGAAAGTTGCAACTTAAGAAACTCATATACAGCTTAACATATTTAAAAGTTCACCTCTTAAACAAAAAATACATCAAACTAACAAATACTACTCTAAACCTTTTTATATTCTTATATAGCTATTAAGATCAGCAATAACAAATACTTGACAACCTTAGGAATTAAATAAAACAAATCTCTAAGCATATTATATAGTAAAAAAAAATAATAAATCAATATTGAATACTATATAAAATCAAATCTTACTTTAACAAATTATATTCTTACAAATATACAATATATCAAGTCTAGCAGCCTACTCAAGTCATAAGAACTTGTCTTAGCTTTAAAAAGATATTAATCATCCAGTATTAGAGTCAATCTAAGTTATATCAAGTATAATAAAGATAATAATAGTTTATATTATAAATAGATTAACATTAGCTTATATATCATATTGTACAAAAATATTTGATATAATTTATATATTGATATACTGTATATACTTAATAAAGTTTTGTATTTAATATTCTTTTATAATAAAAAAAACAAATTATTATTGTCTTAAGGACTTTAAGGACCACTGTTGCATTGGAATGGGACCTCTGGTCAAAGGCCAAGCAAATTTGGGAGTCTTGCTTGTTTTTTGGTTGCATGGGGAAAGGCCCGTGGCTATCCTCCTTCTTAACTTTGTCTTTATGCACCTCCTCCTTTATTATTCTCATGATAACCATTCTCCTCACCATCCTCAA